CATTCTAACTAGTACACCTGTATAATATGTACATACATTATGTTGCTGATACTCAGAAGACCATAATACTACTGAACAATATTTAAAAATACTTAAATAATAATGAGATTTAGTATAAAACATAAGAACGTTAAAAATGACTAAAATAGAATAATAATCAGGACCAGTGCAAATAAATGACAAGAGGGAGGGGCTGTGGTAAATTTGCCAACTTCAGAAAAAAAAAATCAAAACTTTAAAATTATCATATTGTATTCATGTATTTATTGCATTCAAAATATCAAATATTTTAACTTACATATAGATTAGAATACTAATATATAATATTTAATTTTTACATAATAATTATTCTTTCTTTCAAAAGTAACCATTTATCAACAAGCATTGTTATATTAACACTATTCAAAATAACTTTGTTCAAATTAAGCAACATCAAATTTTCTAAGAGACCATTAGTAAAAAATGTAATTTGTAACATGTATTTCAAATATGTGAAGATTTTAGTTGTATAGGTATAGTTTCCAAAGATAGGTTAGAAAAATAGTCTTTGTCCTATATATTAAAAAAACAAGAAACTTTGAATGCAGAAAAAAATTTAATTTATTATACACAAAGTTTAAATAATGTTATAATAAATAATAATTAATAAATTGTTTTAAATATCTGAAAAATGAAGGTTTTAGATTCTATAGCTAAAAAAATCATACCGTCTCAATAATTAGTGATGGTTGTACCTCAGACTCTACACTATTTTTTTTTATACATACTGCAGATGTTGCTACAAACAGATATTCGGTAGCGCCAAAACGTTCCACGTTTATTCTGTTACCACCGTGTACATTTATTTTGAGTTTTCTTCTATAATCGTCGTCGAATATGCTAGCACAAATTAAGCATTCCAGTTTTGTCCTTTTCCCCTTTTACTCGTATTCATTTTCATACAAAATAATATATTACTATTTACTAAGAATAACACAATAATAAACAACGGTAGTCAGTAGAATAATTACTAGTATTAATATAAATTAATGATAACTAATCACCAAATACTAACGTGTGGTAGGTTAAATTCTAAAATGGAAAAATACAACCAATGCTATTATTAATCTATTTATATTTGTAACACGATTGATGATGATTATAAATTAAACTGATTGCGCTGTTACAGTTTCAGGGTGCTTCATAATATGATAATATGAACTAAATATAATCTACAAATCTTCAATCCGTAGTAATGAGTAACAACTCGGAAATTCGAAACCATAATTATATTTAAAATACACAATTATTTTAAAAATTATTATTTAGGTTACCAAGAATCAATAAGATTATTACTAATTCTACGTTTTATTTTTATTTCTAAATTAGCAAACTTCGTGTATAAATAATATTTTGCCGATTATTTTCATAAAAATGACAAGTGGGGTGTCATATCCCCTCACACCCACCATTAACGTCAATACTGATAATAATTAATCATTCGTTTTGTACATGTAAGTTCACTGTAATAAAAAAAAAAAAAAGTCAGATATTATCATAAATCAGAAATGTATTTTTTAATTAAGTATATTAACTAATGAAATAAAAACTATTCGAATTATTCATACATGAACAATGAAAATTTGTGTTATATTATTTTTATTTAAATAATTTTTCAACATACTATAAAAATTAAATATTAGTTATTTAAAAGTTTAAATCACTTTTTTTTTTTTTTTTTATAAAATTCTTTAGATAGTCATAAATAAATGTACGACTCATCAAATCAATTGATTTTGTTATATTTTTAAAACCAATAAACATGTTTTTTTTAAACATACCTTTAGATTTTAATTTGAATGCGATAAATTTAATCTTGATTATAGATAAGTTTAATTTTATTAGTTTTAATTGTATAGGATTTATAAAATTCAGTCATATGAAAGATGTTTTGAATACCAATTATGATATTTAATTCAAGATTAGAAAACAATATTTTACTATTATTATTTATATAAAAATTAGATAATTAATTATATAACAATATATTGAATTTGATGAACATCGCTCAAAAATAGATAATGTAAATGTTCTTTTTTAATTATTATTAACATAACATACATTAGAATTTTTAAATATGTTATTATGAATAGTTGTATCTTATCGTTAAGTTTGCATCCTATACCTATTAATATGCAGTAAAATCTATGCTAATCCATCATTCTAAAATAATTAATTACTTTAATTAGGTATACCAATAGGTTAAATGTTTTAAAATGTTTACTTGATCTTCTTGATTAATTATAGTCTTTTATTACTATGGTTATTACAATAAGTTTATTACAAAAGTATTTTACAATAGAATTTTACATTAACCTCATTAGACAGTATATGTATTTAAATTTAGAGAAAAAAAACTTTGTATCTGGATATGCGCCTGCTTATATAACTTTATTAGCAACCGTTAACTACTTATCTCCCATCTAAAGGTTTCGAGGCGATACATGAGGTAGAAATGTTTTTAATACATGCAGTATAAGAGAAGCCAAGTCAAATTTAAATATATAGTAAGTAAGAAACCCGAAAAATTCCACCAAAATGCTATTGCTATTATGTCCCCTCGAGATTCTGTTTCACTTTGTCTATCGAAAACTAAAAAAGAAAAACGACCTCAACACCCTCAATAGGAAATTCTATGATATCGAAAATCCGTTTGAACAATGGATTTGTGGAGTGCAGCCCCACCACAGCAAATTATCGGTAAAACTTGCTCCACGGTTTATTTTAATCTAGTTTTTTCCCTCTCCCTACTTCACACAAATTGACAACAATCCGTTTATTTGTAGTAATAATAATAATAATAATGGGGACGACCATAATTCGCATTACATATTTATTACTCGCGCTACTACCGAATTAGGTATATTCTGTTACACGTCGAACGTGTTTCACGGTTGAGTTCCTATCCCATGACTGCTTTGTTTATCGATGCGTGAGATCAACATCATCTCTAATTTATATAACGACATAACTGTGTGTATATATATATATTATTTGTGATTGTTTCACCAAACTCGTTTTATACTGTATATATAACGACAAAAACTGAAAATGCTCACCAAAAGTAACTCTTAAGTTTTAGTTTTTAATATTTTTCTTGAACAGAGATGTATTTAGAATTTTGATGCCCCAGGTAAAGTTTTATTGCTACCCCTACACGTATACGTATACAATTTTTAAGAAAGGTAATATTTATTATCTACGAATTTTATGCGATCAACTTTTGATAATATTATCATGAAAATAAAATCACCGTGTGGTCACTGCGCAAAACCTTAAAACATTACAATTTTTTGATGGACGAATGAAAATTGATGATGGTTACAAAAAAATGCTGCCACCCTTTGATTCCAAAAAAATATGCCATCCGGGGTGATGGTACCCACTGACACCCCCTAAATACGTCCATCTACTCTTGTATAAATAAGGCTCAGTATATTTACTCAATGAAAATATTTCGAAACTATAACTTTTTTTCCTGTGTATTTTTACAGTATGAAAAATTCGTTTTTTCATCACTTAATCATCTAAAAAAAATTACTTTTAAATTTTTGTTAATTGATTTTGTAGTTAAGGCTAATTCAACAAAAAAATTATTGCGGTGGCTATAACGGCTATTTTAATCTATATATTTTTTATTGTTTATTAATAGAAAATATTATAACTCAACAATTACAAAAAGTGTATATTAAAGGTTATTTTAATGGAAAGTATAAATTACCTTTTCAACAACAGAATTTATATTTGATATATTGGTATTCTTTCATCATTACGCTAGTGACTTACTAGTAGTAAAAATACTAGTAATAAGTATGAAGCAGTTTAAATGAGTAAAGTAAAGAGAACCATCGATGTGTCTCGTATACTGAACCATATATGCGTACCTAATTTTCAAAACTTTCATTTATTTAAACACATATAGATATGAAACTAATATTGGATATACAATCGTGATACTTTGAAATATTCATTAAGACTTGTTTCTTGCTAGATTTTAAGAAATTTTTAAAAAGAATAATATTTAAAAACTATTTTCAGAGCCTGTCAAAGGATGAATTTGATATAGCTTTTAATACTTCCCTTTACTATAAAAATAAGTTAAATAAAAATAATTAATATTTACAGAGGTATCTTCGTCAGAAAAGCATGTTGAATCACCTTATATAAAAATATATATGCATACGTTATATAATTATACGATTTACCATAGCACGATTTTATCATCGAGTTCAATAGATTTACTCAATCACCTATTTACATAATTTTCTTAGGTAGATGTTCGGTGACAATTTTTAGACTAATCATCTTAACATTTTCCTTCCACATATACAACTTTTTTCATTAATCTAATTACTTTTGTTCTACAGCTTATGACATTTTATTTAATAAAAGGTTTTCTCTATCATATTTTTAATAATAAATTCTTATTTACTTTTCTACCATTTTATGATGTACATCCAATAATATAACCTCTGAGAACTTAAAATCCACAGACGTAATATTTTAAATTAATTCTACATTGTCTAAATTTCTAGACCATTATCATTTATATTGACTTCATACCAAGTCAAATGTATCCATTTTAACAAAATAAATTCCTATTTACGTTGTAGAATATTATCAATATTTTATTTTAATCTAATCACACAACATAAATGTAGAAATACGTCGAATTTAATAAAAAATCAAACTCATTATTTAATAATAATTTAGTGTGTTTCACTTTATTTTTTTTTCTAGCTCTTTAGAGAATATATATTCTTTAATTTGAAAAATCGTCTTTTAGGATATAATATTTTTTATTCAACCAGAGTTCAGACATTTTTGGCGAAAATAAAACGTTTTGCATTTATTCTAATCCTAGCTAGTATTTGACATATTATATTTCTACTACTGAGTAAATCACCGACTTTCTGGGAATATTATATACACACCAAGGCATTAATATAAAGATGAATTACCTGCTGAACAGCTCGATGTTGAAAAACACGTATTCTCCACTATCAATCATGTTGAGTTCTTCGGCCGCCAAAAGAATATCCCTGACCCTGGATGGAGAGGCGCACACCACCATAACTGAAACAGAATAATGTACTGAAAGTTCACCAAGATTGAAAATCCTCTTATTGACTGTTTTTGTATTATGGGACGAAATGCTGCTATCAAGAATAGTGGACATTATATTTTTTTATCTTAAAAATGCGTATCACATTTTTAGGTTGCTGATAAAGGTCTTACTACGTGTACCTGGGGAATACCGTACAATACGAAATGTGATCAAATCATTACATTTTTAAATCGGGAGTACATGCCAAGCGTACCTATATTGTATACTAAATAAATGTAAGTACTTTCTATTGATATATATATATATATATATATATAGGATACAATATGTAAATAGATATTTTGTTCATCGTCTCCGATAAACGGCAAAGGATAACATCGTAAAAAATAATATTCTTTGTCCTTATAAGTACATATCATAAATGTTTAAAGGTTAAATAATCACAAAAAACCTGTGTGTGCCATAAAAGAAAATAATATACCTACCTGGATGAACACTACCGTCGTTAAAAATCACGGAAAATAAAACTACTGGTTATGACAGCAGAAAAGTACGACTATATGCTTGTGTCTTTATTATTGTTATACAAGAAGGCTTAGAAGTTTGTGCTGACGAAATAAGAGATACTTTTAGAGATACTATAGAAAATTCATTATTATTTATTTATTAAAAATAGTTGGAAAAGTTTACGTTGAAAAATCAATCCATTTTTCAACTAATAAGTATGAAATGGACTTTATTTTGTGTGGGGATCAAACACATAATATCAAGATAACTAAATAAAAATATTGGTAATATACTCTTAACATTAAGCTTAGTTTTGGTAGGTTTAAATGATACATCACATTTTAAAATAATCGTTCATCAGTATTATAAAATTAATTTGGAATAAACTATCAGATTTTTTTCTAGGTCATGATAATATTTTAAGCTTGAAAATAAATTTAAAATTAAAGAAATAAAAGTAAATATTTAATTTTGCTTAAGTTTTAATCATTCGTAAATTTAGAATTATTTGAATAGTATAAAAATAATGACGAAGAAAAATAATTTATTTTTTTCATTAAAAATTCTGTTTAAAAATAAAAATAAAATGTATGTTTATCGGGGAGTAACCGAATTGGTTGCCATTTGGCCGAATTGGTTCCCGTTAAAAGAAGGTATTTTATTAGGTATAGTCAAATTGTTTCCCGTTTGTGAACAGGTAAAATAGTGACAATTTTAATTTTTAACACAATTTGCCTTCACTATTAGAAATTAAAATCCAGCAGACCAGTATATAGAAAACAAAAAACAAAATTTTAAAAGCTATATGTATGACATATAGACACAATTATTATATCGATAAAATAAAGTATAGAAATATAATAGACTATAGATTACTAAAGAGTAGTAAATTACTAGCAAACAAGAAAGAAATAACAAATACTTGGAAAATTGAATGACTAAGTACATTAATGAGAAAATTACGAGAATTGAATATATGAAGAAAGTTAGCTTCAGATTTGCAAATCAGTGGTTTTAAATTATATTTATTATATTTTATTATTTATATTTCGTATATCTAAGTGATGACTAGTTGACTTCCAAATCAACGATTTAAAATTCTATATATTTTAACATTTTTTTTTTTTTTTTTAACACACATTAATGCACATTAACCAAGCCTACTTTAAAGTTAACAGTCTGTAAAATTGAAAAAGAAAATGTGCATAATTAAATGGGAACCAATTCGGCTATACCTAATAAAATACCTTTTTCAAACGGGAACCGATTCGGCTATACCTAATAAAATACCTTTTTCAGGCGGGAACCAATTTGGCTTGTGGGGTTGGAGCTCGGGAACCAATTCGGTACCAGCCGTTTATCATGTTGTAATACTACATATGATAAGCATTTAAAATCTCTGTTAAATTTAATGTATATTATGCATAATTAATTATTTTATTAAATAAATAAAGTTTTCTTATAAAAAACCCCATCAACACAAGACACTGCATGGACATTATTATGTAATTTTAAAATAATTTGAACAGTTTAGCATTTAAAATTGTTTTCGGTGACCTACCATAGATTTACATCGTAACTCGCCAAACTAAAAACCTTACTTTAACGCATGAAAATTTATAGAGATCTACTAATGGGTTTGCAAAAAGTTTTTTCTATCAAGTTCGATACTAATTTGATATTTATGTTGAGTGCCAATTGACTGGTTGAACAAATCTGGCAAAATACATTTTCCGTACGAAAACTTTAAACCGGAATCAGTAAATGGTAAACAATTGAAATAAAATAAATATAATTATGATTTACATTGTTATGCTGCTACTCTGCAGTATTGAGAGTTATAATAAACTTATACGTAAACACACACATACACATACACACACACACACACTAGCCAACTGATTACCGATGAGATATTCGAGTTTCTCCCACCAAATCATCGGGGAACACAATGTCACTATCTGGCGACGATCTGTTTGGGACACCGTAATGGTTACTTAGCTAAGTGTTCTTGACAGCAGCGTTAGCTAATGAACTAATTTATCGACCCATCTCGTTTACCTCTTCGAACTACTGACCCGTAGTCACTTAAAAGCCATAATGTGTATACCTTAGTAATTAGAGTATTTTGCGCGTAATACAAACAACCAAATTTCCTTAAATTCCACCCTTGACTAAATAAATTTGTCGTGGATAATAATCAAACGATTGCTGCCGTTAAATATAATTTATAATATTTAAATAACACACACACACACACGAAATTCCATTTTTTTTTTTTTTTTGTAATACAATATTTTACAATATCGAATCTAACTCGATTGTAATAATCGTATTTTATAGTTATTTCTTATACACGTGGTTGTTAATTTTAACATTATTTTTTTGGTAGAAAACCCTTTATGCCACATTTTTCATTCCAATCACACGTGCCGTCATACAAAGCGATTCGAAGTTTAAAAATCATTCGTTTAAACGATCGAGATTTGCCAAAGAATAACGACTTATTCGACAAAAAAAAATGTTTTTTATATGTGCACTATAACACGTAATGTCGTTTATTTGATCGAGAACCTAAACGAATAAAATTATAAAAATAAAGTCGTGTAGCTTTATTCTCGGCAATACAATGAATAAATATAAAATGTGAAGTGTATATTACGAATATATTGCACACGATAAATATACCTGTAGTTTGGATATAATGGTCAGTTATACGTTTATAAGGATGAAAATGTAAATAAGTTTATTTTTTTTTTTTGTGCAGCATCATTTAACAAAACGACATTGATGAAAATAAAAATCGCGCAACCACTATTTTTCTCGTGTTGTTTATCAAAACTCTCATTTTTTTATAGAATATACTTAAAAATATATAATTTACTAGGAGAAGTTAAAATATGTTTATCGTCAAAATCTCTGGATGCATGTTAAAAATATTTGAAATCTCGTATATACGATTTAGCTACCTAGTATCCATACATAAAATAATTGAATGCATGATAATATAAACATAAACCATTCATTGAATCGATTTTAAATTTATTTATGTGAAAAGTCTTATAACTTCTAACTAAACATCATACAATTCAATTTTTATTCTCAAATTTTATACATAATGATTATACCTAACTACATTTATCCTACAATTACTAACTTAATCCTATCTTCTCTCTAACTACCCAAACCTACCTTTACAACCACACATCATGTTATACGAAGATCATTAACCTAACCAGATGAAAATTTGAAATTTCTCATAAAAAAATGTAATTTAATGTGCAGCAAACCAAACTTAATTCATAGTAATAATCGTATTCATAAAGCACTAAATATATAATAATATAATATTGGAATTTAAAGTTGTAGCCCGTAAATATTTATTAAAAAATTCTAAAATATTGAAATATTTTATACATCTATCGTTTGAGAATCGAATAAAAATGTGTGATTTAGAAAATTCGATAACAGAAAATAAAGCAAAAATTTAATTTTAGTCACGTAAACACTATATTTTTAACTGAAATAAAGTGTTATTAGATTTTTAAAAAAATATTAATAAACGATATATATTAAAAATGTCCATATTTTATGAATATCGATATTCCAAGTAAGAATAAGAATAAACAAGGAACAGATTTGATGAATTATTTGTTCACTTTTTAATTTAAAAAACTCTTAATAACAAAAATATTCATAAAAATGATTATATCCCTTTGTGGCAATTGATTTTATAATATATTTAAAACCAAACAAGGTAATGAAATACTTTATTTTATGCTTACTTTGGAATATTTCTGAAACATAGATACATCAAAATACAACATACAACATTTATACTTAAAAATACAATGTAAATAAATTATTCTAAGTAATTACTATTAAAGAATACATATATAAGATAAAACCATAAAACTTTTTAACCATTCAAATCCAATAGCTAGAGGATTATTAAAAAATATATCATTATACCCTTCTCATCCCACAAGACAACCAATTCAACCTCAAAAGAGTTAAAAATGTATTATTAATTAACAGAAAGTGAGGTATTACCATGGATAATTTACGTTAATCCATCATACATGCTTTAAACATACACAAATTAATTTAATTATTATATAATAATATATACTATATATTAGGGGTGACCAAACGGTCGATCGTGTACGATTTCAGAGTCGATCATGATAAAATTTATTTTTAGGCCACGTGCACAAAAATTAATCATGGTGGTTATGAACAAATTGTCGATAAGTTTTACCTGTAAAGCTTTTATCTTTTATTCTGGTTTATAAAACAATTTTCCAAGAAAGTGGATTTTCAAAGCTGAAGTATATTTTCAGTAGATCATGGCCAAAAAAAGTTTGGCCACATCTGCTATATGTTGTAATAACTATAATAAAACAAAATAACTACACAAAAAAACAAAATAGTACAAAATAATCAACTCATTTTTTATCAACACGCACCGTATGCAAATCAATAATGTATACAATATAAG